AGGATGGTAAATCGGTGGAGGATTTTTCTCTCAGCCTGCAAACGCTCATCAGCAAGTTGAAGAGCCACGACGTCACCATCGACTAAGAGAAGGCGGTCTCCAAGTATCTCCACTCCATGCCAACAAAGTACATCCAGATCGCTCTCTCCATAGAGACGATGCTGTACTTGTCTACCCTCGCCATTGAGGATGTGACAGGCTGTCTGCGAGCGTTGGATGAGCGCCTGGAGCAGGCAACAGCAACGAAGGACAACGACAAACTGCTGCTGACAGAGGAGGAGTGGGCTGCTCGGAGGAACTCCGGGGTAGACTCCTCCAGCCGCGGTGACGATGGCAAGCGCCGCGGCAAGGCTTCTTCGGAAAAGAAGAAGCAGGTCGATCCCAACGTCTGCCGGCGCTGCGGGAAGATGGGCCATTGGGTAAGGGAGTGCCCAAATCGTAAGCAGGAGAAGAAGGCTGAGGCTCATCTGGCGCAAGCTGATGATGATGATGAGGTCACTATCCTGATGGCGACGTTCTGTGCACTGCACGACATCGAGGCTGAGGAGAAGGGAGAGGTGATGATGGTGAAAGGTCCTAGGAAGACCCTGAAGGCTGTCAACCTCGACGAACCGCGCGCCCAAGTCCACCTCGGACGTGTGGGCGACGAGCAGGAGCAGCGGTGGTACTTGGACTCTAGCGCCAGCAATCACATGATGGGCTCCAAGGCAGCCTGATGTGACCGGCACGGTGAAGTTCAGTAACGGCTCGAAGGTGGCAATCCAAGGGCGCGGCACCATCATCTTCAGGTGCTAGAACGGTGAGCACCGCGCGCTAACGGATGTATATTACATCCCGCAGCCGCGTTCAAGCATCATCATCATTGACAAGCTGGATGAGCGCGGTAGCGATGTTTTGATCAAGGACGAAGTCCTTAGGATCAGAGACCGGGAGCAGCGACTTCCTCCCAAGGTGAAGAGGTCCCAGAACCAGTTGTACCTGCTTGACTTGAAGGTGGAGCAGCCGGTGTACCTGGCGGCAAGGCACACCGAGGAATCGTGGCTGTGGCATGCCCGGTTCGGACATCTCAGCTTCAACACGCTTGGTCGGCTGGAGAATATGGTCCGAGGGCTACCACACATCGGGCACGGAGGCGAGCTGTGTGACAGCTGCCTGGACGGGAAGTAGAGAAGGCTGCCATTCCCAAAGGCGACCAAGTATCGCGTGACGGACGCTCTCGAGCTCGTCCACGGAGATCTCTGTGGGCCAATCATGTCAGCCACAAACGGTGGTCGATGGTACTTTCTCTTACTCGTGGATAATTGCAGTCGCTACATGTGGCTGCAAACTCCTGACGAGCAAGGACGAAGCGGCGGTGACGATCAAGAAGTTTAAGATACGCGCGGAGGCCGAGAGCGGCAAGAAGCTGCATGTGCTGAGGACTGATCGTGGCGGTGAATTCACTTCGGTGGAGTTCGCTGCGTACTATGCGGATCAAGGTGTGGTACGACACCACATCGCGTCGTACTCACCACAACAGAATAGCGTGGTGGAGCGACGGAACTAGATGGTGCTCGGCATGGCTCGATCCATGATGAAGGCCAAAGGCATGCTGGCAAGGTTCTGGAGTGAGGCGGTGAGCATGGCGGTGTTCATCCTCAACTGCGCTCCCACTAAGGCCCTGAAGGGCAAGATGTCATTCAAAGCTTGGCATGGACGCAAGCCGAGCGTGTCCTTCCTCTGGACATTCAGCTGCATCGACCACGTTAGGAAGACGAAGCCGGTCCTCACCAAGCTGGAGGACAGGAGCACACCAATGGTGTTCCTAGGCTATGCGGAGGGTACCAAGGCGTGCCGGCTCTATGACCCACGCGGAGACAAGGTGCTTGTCTCGCATGACGTTGTGTTCAACGAGAAGGCAGCTTGGGACTGGAACAGTCCGAGCACGAGGGAAGCTGGTGGCTTCACCAGCACCTTCGTCGTCGAGCACTTGGTCATCCACAGTGGTGGAGACACTGGGGAAGAGGTGCCGAGCACTTCAGCAATAGAGCCGAGCACTCCAGGAGTGGAGCCGGGAGGTCCTTCAGTGGTGGCAACCACTCCAGGATGGGTGCCAAACACTCCCGTAGCGGAGCGGAGCAGTCTTGCAGTGGTGGCGACCACTACAAGACGGGTGCCGAGCACTCCGAGAGGAGTGTAGACCACTCCAGGAGTGGTGACGAGTGGTCTAGGAGTAGTGCCGAGCACTACAGCTAGGGTGCCGAGCACTCCAGGTGCTGTGTAGATCACTCTAGCGGAACAAGAAACTCCATCGACGTCAATCGAGTTCGCCTCACCTCCAAGTGACATCATTGAGTTCATAGATGCCTTCCACTAAGGTGAGGAGGTGCGGTTCCGCAGGCTGGACGACATCGTCGACGACACAGGGCCCTCATGCCTGGCGGGTAGGCTGCTTAAAGACGCAGAGCTGCTTCTCGTTAGTGCAGAGGAACCACCCACGTTCACGCTGGCCGAGCGCGATGGAAATTAGCGACGGGCAATGCTGGAGGAGATGAAGGCGATCGAGGAGAACGAGACTTGGGAGCTCGTTGATCCACCTCCAGGATGCCGTCCGATCGGTTTGAAGTGGGTGCACAAGGTCAAGCGGGATGAACACAGCACCATTGTTAAGCACAAGGCTCGCCTCGTCGCCTGAGGCTTTGTCCAGCGTGAGGGCATCGACTTCGAGGAAGTCTTTGCACTGGTAGCGCACATGGAGTTTGTCTGTTTGCTACTGGCTTCGGCAGCAACAAAGGACTGGCGCGTCCATCACCTGGACGTAAAATCAGCCTTCCTAAACGGTGAGCTGGCGGAGACGGTCTTCGTTAGACAACCTTTGGGTTTCACCGTCAAGGGAGCGGGGCACAGGGTGCTCTGACTACGCAAGGCGCTCTACGGGCTACGGCAGGCCCCACGAGCGTGGAACACCAAGCTTGACGCCACGCTGGGCGAGCTTGGGTTCACATGGTGCGCAACCGAGCACGCACTCTACACGCAGCGATGGGGGAAGGAAGAGCTTGTCGTCGGCATGTATGTGGACGACTTGATCGTCACTGGCGCACGTGCGGAGGATATCGACAGCTTCAAGCGCGAGATGACAGCTCGTTTTCGAATGAGCGATCTCGGCGCGCTCTCCTACTGCCTCGGCATCGAGGTGAGACAGGGGAAGGAGGCACTCACGCTCGGTTAGAGCGTGTACGCCTTGAAGCTGTTGGAGCGGAGTGGCATGGCTGAATGCAAGCTGTGCGTGACTCTGATGGAAGAGCGACTAAAGCTGATGAAGGCCAGTACCGCGGCGAAGGTAGATGCAATACTTTACCGGAGCATCGTCGACGGTCTGCGCTACCTAGTCCACACAAGGTCGGACATTGCGTTCGCCGTGGGTTACGTCAGTCGCTTCATGAAGGATCCTCGAGAGGATCACTGGGCTGCAGTGAAGCGGCTACTGTGCTACATGAAGGGGACGGTGGATCAGGGGATCGTCTTCCCCAAGATCGGCGGAAGTAGGCTGCAGCTCACTGTGTTCAGCGATGCAGACATGACGGGGAACATCGACGGACAGCGGAGCACCTCTGGCGTGCTCGTCTTTCTCGGGTCGGCTCCAATTTCATTGCTGTCGCTGAAACAGAAGGTGGTGGCACTATCTACGTGCGAGGCAGAGTACGTAGCGGCGGCCACAGCGGCGTGCCAAGTTGTGTGGTTGCGCCGGCTGCTGGGCGAGTTGACTGGTGTAGAAGCTCACCACCAGCACTGATGGTGGATAACCAGCCCGCCATCGCCCTCGCGAAGAATCCGGTTCTCCATAACCGGAGCAAGCACATCGACGTGAAGTTTTACTTTCTCAGGGACTGTGTCGATGGAGGGCAGATCGTCATCGAGTTCGTCGAAACTGGTCGGCAACTCGCGGACGTTCTCACCAAGCCATTCGGCCGTCTTCGGTTCATGGAGCTGAAGGAGATGATCGGCATGGAGGGGGTTCAAGGGTTAGCAGTAGGATTAGGGAAATAATTGTTAGATAATATATTGCTTTCTTGTATGAACACACGGCAAGGGAAGACGACATCGAAAAGGCTCCCTGTTGTGGTACTATAGCCGCTGCAGGGGTAGGCGCCGAACGGCTCACCTGCGCACTGTAGCCACAGCTGGAGCAGGCGCCAGAGTCAGCCCTGCTGTCTTATCTAGTCACTGTAGCAGCATGACAGCTGTACTAGGACTAGATGGATAGTATTGTATATATAGTTTGCCACTGCAACTCAGTAAAAAGAGCGAGTTCAGTTTTATCATCTCCTATATAGAGCTCCGGCCAACGCTGGTGTCTCTATTGTGTGTGTATACTCTGTTCTTCCTCCTTTCTTCTACCTCTAAACATAGTGTGTGGTTGAACAACGTTTGTCGTGGTCGGCAAAACTGGTGAGTGGTTGACTCACCTGAGCCGGTACTCCTATGGGCCAACACATTACTTATCAGTTACAGCTTGAAGCGAGGTGGGTGGTCTGGTCCTCATCATACAACTAGGACTTCTCACGGACCTCAAAGATCAGTACTCTCTCCATCTAAGATTCAAATTTGTTAATCTTTAACTATCACTGATTCAAAAAATCTGTAGATTCCATCTTACAAAATCAATATTATTGGATTCATATTATGAATATTACAGCATACAAGCTCAGATATTAATGGTCAAACTGTGGTGTTGGAAGGGGGCAATCACGCCTTACGGAAACAAAAGGTGGGAGTAATATTTGTGCCACGTCTGATAGTAAATGGCAGCAGATTCGGACATTGTTTTTGTCATTATGTATGTGATCTGAGTTTCTGATGTCTATATAAGCAGATATCGACGAGGATGACTAGGATTTCTCCTTCCTAAGCCTCGATCCTCTCCTCCACCTCATTCCTCAACTAATCAACAACAGTAGTAGTCAGAAGCGGTGAAACAATATCAAGTCCAGTGATGCTAGTACACTCAGGTTACATTGTGATTAGTAGGCATTCTCTATTGCTTCAATGCACCCCAACACGCTTGCTTTTTGGGACATCGCTGACATTAGCGCTTCATGGGCTGCTTTATTGTTCTTCAGAAGTGATGCAGCAAACAGGACCTGAAATGCCAAAAGAACGTCATCAATTGACATTTAGGTTATGATATGGTTCTGCTTCTGATAGGCCAAGAGAGATAGAAGTAGAACTTACTGCCCATCTGGTAAGGTTTTGTTGCTGATCTTTGCTTAGTTGCGGCTTAGTTCTGTTTATGAACCTCTAGAAGCAAGCAAACGAGAAATTCTTCAGATGCATTTTTCTGAACATATAGTGAATATGTGACAATATAGAATTGTTGAGGATATGATTAACTCTTAAAGCACCTGAAGGGTGAAAAGATCTGCTGATTGACCTACAACTTTGTCATATTCTAGACCTTCAGCAGCCAGTCCTGCCATTGAAACTACAGCTAACCTGAGAAAAAAACTTGTGGGTGTCATATTTGTTTGATCCAGTGACATTATTGCAGGTCTGAAGTATGGACAGGTTAAAAAAAGGGCTACCTGTCTAGTTCCTTTCCATCAAGCTGCCCACTGTATATTAGCTTTTGTAACTGCTCATCTATCAAATTAACATGCTCCTTTCCGATGTCCAAAGAATATCCAAGGATAGGGAGGCCAATCAAATAGGCGACTAGATTTTCAATAAAACTTCCATTCAGTAAATTCCTACTGCAGATATAATATTCCTAGGAAAAGAGAATCACAAACCTAGGAAGTGAGCAGCTTCATGCCTAGCAATTCTCTCCTGGTAGTCAGGAAAGACCGTAGAAAACGCTCCAATTGCTGCTTGCAGAAGACTACAATGATGGTATGCATAATTTACATGGGTTCATAATTAATCTTCAAACAGTTTTACATGGACAACGGAAATTTCTCTGTCCCAAAAAAACGACCACCATTTTTACATTGGGCTACAATTTATCATGTTAGCAGTAATGCATTGAATCGAATGACCATTTTGCATGTTCATGGTTTTTATTTTCTTGAGACAGTATAAGTTATATGAGGACACTAGTCTTGCCTTATTCATGTCTAAGCAAACTTTGCTCTAGGAGATGATGTAATTATGGAGACGGATGCATCTGAATCTCTCTTCCAAACTTGCACAGGTGAAGAAACACGTACCCTGGAGCAACGCTTCCGACAGCCAATACGATCAATGAAATGCTTCCAATCAAGTAGGGAACAAAGAAGCCCCAATCCTGGCAAAGATAATTGTAGAAGATTCATTAAACCTTGAATTCCTTTTCATTTAGATGTCGATATCACAATCAATTTTGCAGGTACCCCATGATTCAAGTCCTCTATGCTCATCTTATCTGAAAGTACATAGAGCAGGTGTCATGGAAATAGTAATACCCCAGGGAGCTGGCCTGCAAGGACGGCTAAGAATCCAGTGGTACCCACAACTGTAAACAAAAATGCCGCCTGCACTCAAAGAAAACGCAGGATTACACTCTGAAAAGCACAGGATATTTAGCTCTGAACGATGTTACATTTGTTTCAAGTTCAGCTAACAGAAGAACAACATTTCAATTATGAAAGACTTGAACTGTGGAACAAGTAACAACACTCACATCATTTCTAACACTTGGAATCGCCAAATTCTCAGCATTCTTGATTCCAAGGGTAGTGAGCTCCCGCAGAGATGTCTGTTCCAGTCCAGAATGCAGGCTCGTCAGTTAGAATCAATCAGAGCCAGACCAGCAGACCCATGTATGTAGATACAACGATCAAAGATTCAAAGGCTACGCGATGGTTGCATTATGAAAATTTCACGAGCAAATGCACGACAGGATTATGCATCCTGCAAACACGAAAAATGATGCCTGCGAAGACACGGCACTGACCGTGCGACGCGACACGTAGGGCTGCGAGCTCCAACGCTTGGCCCATCCGAGCTCTCTCAGCTGGTCCAGCGCCTCCTTAACATCATCGCTGCTTTTCTGCAGCACCACCCAACTCAAATGCATCATATCACCAGATTTCTTGCTAAACAACAGTCAGAAAGCCGGTGCTGCGACTGCCGCTCACCTTGTCGATGGCGGCCTGCAGCGCTTTGAGGTCCACCTCGGAGGCCGCCGAAGACGAGGCTGCCGCGGCGCGCCAACGGCGACGCGGCCCGACGGAGCTCGCGGTGGGCGCGACGAGCACGGCCACGATCGCCATTGGCTCCCCTGCGCGCGCGGTTCGGCGGCCGACCGCCAACGGTAGGGGATAACACAGTTCAGAGTCTTTCGTCGTGATCTTCTGAGGCGTAGATTTCGTGCGTCGCTGAACGCGCCGTCGTGTCACCTCCTGCGCCCCCGGCGTGCTTTTCGTTGCGTGCGACACGCGCTCCAGAAGATCCGAGCCACGCGTTCGGAGGTGGAGTTTGCGTCGGAAAATGCTGAGCCACAAAAAATCATGCCGTTACAAACACTACTACTCCATTTGGCGCCTATCCCATCCGTTTCTCCAGTTTCGTCTTCCCCGCTCGCTCCAGCTCCTCCCAAAATCTCCGTTCCCAATTCGAATCCCCCCCGATCCTCCGCGTCGCCAGAAGTCCAGATGCTTCTCCTCCAGCCCCGCGCAGTCCCTGCGCCTGCTCTGCGGGGGAGGCCTCCTCGGCCACGCCGGCGGCTGGTGCCGCCTCCCCTCGCCTCCGCGTCCGGTTCGATCGTCGTCAGCTCCGACGAGGACGCCTTCACCAGGTGCTCCGGGTACCTGTTCGAGGAGGGCGCGGCCACCGAGTCGGAGCTCCCCACCGCGTACGACCTCCCAGGCATCGCGGCCGTGTACCGCCGCCGCCCGCTCCTCGTGCTCCGCCGCTCCCTGCAGATCGGCACCTCCTTCGGCCAGTGGTTCGCGCTGCGGTACCTCGACCGCGTCAACGAGCGCGCGGACGACATGTTCGAGGTCCGCGCAGCGCGCTCACGCTACGTTTGCTTGTGATCGGCCCCGCGCACGCTTTCTGTTTGATCAAATTCCTTGGCGTGTTTTGGTTCACCTTCGGTGCTTGACACGATGAGTTGGTGTTGTCTTTGCAGCTTCGGGCGGCTCAGCTCAGGAGGATACTGTTAGAGCTTGGCCCAGTATGTCTCATTTCGCATTGCCTGCCTGCTCATGTGTGCGTTCCTTATCTGATGATCATTGAAGTCTATTGATGTTGCTCTTTTAATCACAGGCATTTGTGAAGATCGCACAAGCAGTTTCGTCGCGGCCGGTGAGGTTCACTAATCGTTACATTTTCAATTCACCTATTCCTATGCGATTGCAAGCTTGGAGTGCCTTAACTTTAGATGTTCGACACTTGTCACCTTCTTTGTTTCATTTGCTGCAGGATGTTGTTCCACCTGCATACCTTGATGAGCTCTCACTACTTCAGGACCGCATAGCACCATTTTCAAACGATGTTGCTTTTAACATTATAGAGAAAGAGCTTGGGCTGCCACTTAATATGATTTTCTCTGAGATAACACCAGAGCCTGTTGCTGCTGCATCTCTTGGGCAGGTCCGATCGCTCTATCACTTTTAATGTATTCATTCATGTCATGAATCGATTAACCACTCTTAGCAGCATTTTGTATTTCTAAATACGGAAGCAGAGCACAGTTGCATGTAGTCACGTGCATTTGGATAGTTGAGCTATTTGTTATCTGGCTGCAATATTGCATCCTCTCTACATTTTCATTGTTTCAACTTCTAACACCAGAAGTGATGTGCAACTGAACTTCAGCTTTGCACGTTAATATTTTTTTCTGGATGTTGCTCTAAAGGGACGAAAATAAGTGCACTTCAAATTTAGGAGCAACTAAAAGTACTGTATAATGGAAATCTGAACCTTTATGAAGTTTCAACACCATATCACATGTTTCTTTAAAGGAACCACAAATGAGTAACTTCCCGGAGTTGAAATTTGAGACAACTAAAGGCACAATAGGATGGAACCCTGAACTTCCTTGATAAATTCAAATATTAGTCAATTCACACTTCTTAGTGTGGATAACCATGGAATTTCATCTCCAGTGATACAACGTTCCATTTTTCTTACTTTTGTAGGTTTACCAGGCTAGGCTCCGCTCCAATGGTAAGGTTGTTGCTGTCAAAGTACAAAGACCTGGAGTTCAAGCAGCAATTTCATTAGACATATATATCTTGAGGTTCCTAGCTAGTCTTGCAAGGAAGGCTGCCAAGTTGAACACAGACCTTCCAGTAAGTCTGACTGCTGTTAGTACCATGTAATCAGCTGAAGAATTTGTTTTTCTTTAAAGAGGTCAAAAACAGAAAAATAACCCAACATTAAGGGGAAATCTTTTTAAAAGAACAACTATATTATTCTGTATCAGTTATGTTGTGCCTCTTATATTTTACTTGTTTTCTAATCACATGTATTTGCTTCTTGTATGTGCAGGCTGTGCTTGATGAATGGGCATCAAGTCTATTTCGGGTAACTCTTCTCCATATATGATGACATGCTATTTCTATAGTGAATATATCTATACATCAATTTTGTTCATTTACTTCAGTTCACTTCAACACATTTCAATTTGGTTATAGCATCTGTAGGCATTGGCATGAGATAATATTAGATTGAAGTATGAAAAGTAACCATTAATTTGAGGCTTATGCCTTAACCCATAGAATGATTTCATTTCTATGTGGATAATAGCAGTTTGCTAGAAAAACAATCTAGGAAAAATTATGGGAGGTCAACATCCAAAATGTGGTATTGGTTACGGGATCCAAATGAACATTTAAAAATTGTTAATCGTTTTTTGTGCTATGATTCTATTCATAGTTCACTATGCTCAAGTAATTTCAAGGTTGCAAGTTATGGACACTTGTCATATATTCAAGGAGGAATATAAATATCAACTTCGGCGGGTGCGAAGGGTAAGGAAGCTAGTCGAGCCAACTAGGATCCGTTTAGTTAGCTGGAATGTAGGGCCCCTTACAGGTAAGTTAAGAGAGTTAGTGGACATAGAGGTTAGAAGGCGTGTAAATATCTTATGCGTCCAAGAGACTAAATGGAAAGGGCAGAAGGCGAAGGAGGTGGACAATACCGGCTTCAAGCTCTGGTACACAGGGACAACTTCAAATAAAAATGGAGTAGGACTTTTGATTGATAAGAGCCTCAAGGATGGCGTGGTGGAGGTGAGAAGGTAAGGGGATAGGATCATCTTAGTTAAACTTGTCATTAGTGATATGGTTTTAAACGTAATTAGTGCGTATGCCCCCCAAGTAAGCCATGATGAGAGTGATAAGCAGCTTTTCTAGGAAGACTTAGATCGCTTGGTTAGAGCTGTCCCTAGTAGCGAGAAGCTCTTTATAGGAGGTGATCTTAATGGCCATGTAGGTACATCAAGTGTAGGTTTCGAGGCGGTTCATGGGGGTTTCGGATATGGTAGTAGGAACCAGGAAGGAGAGGAAGTCTTAGACTTCGCCATAGCTTTTGATCTGATGATAGCTAACACTTTCTTCCGTAAGAGACAGTCCCATTTAGTGACCTTTAGTAGCGGCTAATACTCTAGTCAAATCGACTTTGTCCTTACAAGAAGGAGGGATAAACGAACATGCGTGGACTGTAAGGTGATACCTGGAGAATGTGTGGTCGCTCAACACAAGCTGGTGGTGGCTGACTTCCGCTTTCTGGTGCAAGCTCGTGGGAACAAACAAGCTAGGGTTGCTAGAACGAAGTGGTGGAAATTAGAAGGGGAGGCATCAAAGGTCTTTAAGGAAAATGTCATTGAAGAGGGCCCTTGGAATGATGAAGGCGATGCAAACAGCATGTGGGAGAAGATGGCAACATGCGTTCGAAATGTTGCTTCAGAGGTGCTTGGAGTGACCAAAGGGAGCGGATGCGACTCGAAAGACACTTGGTGGTGGAATGACGATGTACAAAAGGCTATTAAGGAAAAGAAGAAGTGCTATAAGCGCTTGTATCATGACAGGTGTGCACACAACATAGAGAAGGACAAGGTGGCAAAGAAAACTGCAAAACGAGCGGTGAGTGAGGCAAAGGGGCGGGCCTATGAGGACCTTTACCGATGTTTGAGTACGAAGGAAGGAGAGAAGAACATTTATAGGATGGCTAGGGCTCACGATAGAAAGACAAGGGACTTCAACCAAGTCAAGTACATAAAGGATGAGAGGGAGCAGCTCTTAGTGAAGGAGGATGAGATCAGACATAGATGGCAAGAGTATTTTGATAAATTGTTCAATGATGAGAACGAGAACACCACCGTTCAGCTGGACGACTCGTTTGATGACACTAACAGACGCTTTGTGTGGAGGATTCAAGAATCGGAGGTCAGAGAAGTCTTGAAAAGGATGAAAGGGGGCAAAGCGATGGGCCCTGATTATATCTCAATCAAGGTGTGGAGATGTCTCCAACACCGGTGCTAGGATTTTGAGGGCCTTCTGGCGGACTCGTCACGACGACCCCTCTGGACCATGTATAAAATCTTATAATATATAGGCGCTAATTTTATTTACAAAACGAAAGCAAATTCAATAATGTATTTTTAATTTAACATGTCTGATAATTATGGAGGAAAAAATGACTATGAGTACAAAGTACTATAAATCGGGAATACTATACGAATAATTAATGTGGATTAAAAAATGAACAAGGAAAAAATACCTAGGGCCTGGACATGAACTGAAACAACTGATCGGCGATCTCAATTGGCAAGAAGGCAAGAACCAAGATGTCATCGTCGTGGAGGTGGAGCCCTGCCTGGTCGCCGCCGTCGTGCGCCATTCTCTGGCAGTCCAGTTCTCCGCGGTGGCGCGGCTCGTCGCCGCCTCGCCGGCTCCATGTGACAGCCTGTGTGCGTCGGGCGTCGGCGCGTGATGCGAACTCGCGAGTCGTGATCACGATCAGAGTGCGGCGTGGCTCCTTGCCTCATCTCAGCGTCGTGGTGAAAACTGGGAAAGAAAGCTAGAAAGGCCGACGATCTTCTTGGGCTGGCTAGCCACTTCTCTACTTCTCTTCTTATTAGTTTGCTGATGCCTAATGGACTATAGGGTATGGGGGTTTATATACCTGAGTTTGGACCCCTCCCCCGCCTAGGCCCTCGGTCGTCGCACCCCGTGCCCCTGCCTAGGGCCGGCACTAGGATGTCTCGGGGATATAGCTATAGTATGGCTAACCAAGATGTTCAACAATATCTTTCGATCGAACA